AAACTTCTCCAAACACTCCTGTGAGAAATAACATGTTTCAAACATTGGTTACCATTCTGCCTCTCTCTCGCCAAAGAGGCCATTAAGATTTTTTTGTTACTTCTCCAAACTCACTTTTTCTGTTTCTGTGAAGGGCAGCTTCAGCAAATCCCCATGCTAGGGACGTGTCTGAGTAAAGCAGCTTGGGACTACAACCATTTTGAACCCCTCTGTTTTCCAGGCTCCACTCGTGGTTTAGCCAACAAACAACAAAAGCAAGTCTACATGCTCCAGAAGCCTAAAAATTTGGCTTCTGCCCAGTGAATATTCTGTGTGCCTGCACTTTTGACACAAAAAAACCAAAAAAAAACCAAAATTCAAAAAAAAAACACAAAAAAAACCAAAAAAAAAAAAAAAAAAAAAAAAAAAAAAACTCAAAAAACACTTTTAGCTGGTCTGCGAAACAAATTATTTTGGCAAAAATTAGCAACTGGAAAACCAAAGTTACAAACCGTTTTGCTGTGAAACAATACATTTTAGGGCACCACTCTAATAAGCACTCTATTGCTACATATAGGAGTGTCTTAAAAAATTAGTAACTGTGTTAAAATTTGACAAGAACTAAGCAAGGCTTTTTTCTTGAATACAACTTAGAGAACATGTTTTCTCAAATGGGAAGAGACTTTAGAACACAACAATTAAAAATTAAATCAGAAAAATTCCAATCTAGAAAGAAATTAAGAAATGCTTCTGTCTAGGACTTAATTCTATTCTAAACATGTTCACTCACACTGTGAGGCATAAATTTAAAAGTGTTGTTAACCACATGCAGGTGACAAATATGTAAAAACATTTATGTGCACAGACTGAAGGAGAGATAACAGATTCTGGAAAGGATACAATTGCATGTTTGTCGCTTTCATCAATGCTTTCTAGCAAATAGAGATCCAGCAGTGCCTGAAATGAAAGATTAAAAGGTTTTCTAATGCTCCTGTCTTTCGCAATCAATGGCTTTAGGGGACTGCTGCTGCTGCTGGGGTTTGCAGTGAACAGAACACTCACATGTAAACTAACAGGTGGGTATTTCCCAGTGCCGCCTTCATCCCTCTGCCACAACTTCTCCACTTCCTCTCCCAACTGGGAAACCATTCCATCAATCATCAAGCAATCAGAATCCCATTTGCCTCTGCAACAAAAGGGAGCAAGGGCTTGCACAGTGTAAAACACTCATTCCAGCCTGTCAGTGTCACAGATTTTGGAGTCAGAGGAATGATGGTCCTTAGCTCACAATGAACTTCTTAATTAAGGAGTCCAAAGCACAAACCCAAGAGAAGAGCTGCATTTTGGGTTCCAGGCTTGCTTTCTTGCTCTGTTATGTGTAATGCCAAGGAAGGCAGACAAAGGGTTTTAACTGCAAAAATAACCACTCTCACACAGTCTAACAGTGGCAGCTTTCTAGAGAATTCCTCTGAGCCTTACCTTGATAAGCGCTCGAGTTTCTCTCGGTGACCCGTATAGTAGCTCTGAATCAAAGGGTAATTGTAGAAAGGTCTGGACAAATGCATGTGATCATCTACAGGTGATAAAGTAAAAGCAAGTTAACTTAAGACCATGTTTTTCAACTAAAACTTTGGTCTAGACACACAGAAACCACACAACCTCAAGAAGCCTCCAACTCTCAAAGAATCCAATCCTGTTTCTGCCTTAGCTCCGACAAAACCAGATCACCACTTGTGCATACAAAGAAATGAGGCTGGTTACCATCTGCTTATTTGTCAAGTCTGTAAAACCTGAAAAAAAGACACAAGATGATTTGGATATTGCAATTCCTCCCCCTTTTACAAATCTCCCATCAGCAGCACAAACACAAAGTATAAAACACCACGGTGGAACTCTTCTTACTTTTAGTTGTCCTTCTGGATCAATTATGAAGTTGAAGGAAAAAAACCACTGTTTGCCCTCAAAACAAAAACCCATCACTACAAAGAAACGGAATCACTAAAGATTAAAATTAAAATTGAAAAATAAAGCCTAAACTATTAGATATACTCAGGAAGACAATGTTTGTTTTCCATGTAGCAGAGATTTTTAGTTTAGCAAAAGAGATTATAGTCTTCTTTTTCCCTCAATATGCCAACAACAATTTATAAAATCAGAAGCCAAAAGAACTCAAGGAACTTCCCTTACACGTTACACATTTCAGCTTCCATTGTATTTCCCAGCAATCTGCACACAACTATCAATTGCTAGCTAACACTTAGGAACACTTCTCAGCATTACCACACTCGGGTACTGTAAATGCTGCCCAGGTTCTCACTCAGCTCAGTGCTGAACCAGCACAGCCTCCCCTACCCAGTCTCATGAACTCCACAACAAGCTGCTCCCCTGAACTCAAAGCAGCTTAAATCAAAGTCCCAGCTTCTCAGATTTAAGCCTCTCCTCCCAGCTCAACTCAACCATCCAAAACAACAACAGCTCCTCTTACAACCCAAGCACGCTGCCAAATCCTAACAATCAGACCAAAGGCCTAGCAGTGCTCTCACCAACCTTTCTCAGTCAGCTCTCGGGCTTCTGTTAGGAAACAGTTCAGGACTGTGCTGAGGTTGCTCAGCAGCAGCTGGCAGTGCTGAAGGGACTGTAATGTCTGTGGGTCAATGAAGTTGCAGGAGCCGTCAAACAGCGGAACACCTGGTCAAGGAGAAATAGTAAATCATCACTCAGCAGAGCAACTGCACACTTCCACACTTAAACACTTCAACAACCACAAGAGACATAAAGAACCACTTAAAGAACCAGCAGCATACACTGGCAGATCAGTGAAGAAGATCCTTTACAAAGAACGCAGGTGGTGGTTTCAAAAACCACCACACCACTACTCACATATTTGGTCCAGTTCATCTTTTGTACAGATCACTTTGTTCCACGTCCACTCAAGAACAAACCGTAAATTTACAGCAGAACTTGGCTGCTCTTTAAAAACAGAAAACAAAAAGGACATGAAGCCACAACTTCTAACCAAAACAGACACAACACAAAAACAATGGAAGCAGCATTACCTTCACAAGTCCAGTGTTTAATGCATCCCGTCAGAAGTTCTAAAGAACCTGTCTGCACAGCAGCTGACAACACTGCTTCTAACTGCTCCTCCTGAACAGAACAGACAAAAGCAAATCACAACCTCAGACTTTCCCTCTAAGTCTCACCTTGACAAACACTGCAGTTTCCGTCGGTGACCTGTGGAATACCTCTGAATCACACACTACCTGAGCCACTGGCAGAAGTTTGCTTCGAACTCAATACCCATTCAGACAGCAGCTGCAAATGCAACTAATTCCATATTCTTGATTCTTTCTTAATTCTAGTCACTGGCTGGACTGCTTGCTGGTTTGGGGAACACAGGAACATTTTCCTCTGACATTTCAACTTCACTCAGGCTAGTTTCCATCTCTATTTCTGTGCCTCGGCGTTTCAGTCTTCATTTACTGAATCCCAATTAACTATTTTCAGGAACATCCTCTGCTAATACCCATTATGCACTTTGGGGCACACCCCTTTGCCATCAGAAACACGTGGAGGGGAGAGAGCAAACACCAAACCACCACTGTGTTTGCATGGAAACAGTGAAGCTGAGGCCAAGCAGCTCCTGGGACAAGCAAGACAGGAAGCAGCTTTGACAGCCAAAACATTAAGTTACAATTTTTTAAAGTACCCTAGAGAAGTGAAACATTTCAGTTCTAATAGGCTGAATTTCAGCCTGTTCAATTACTGTATTCTAATGCCATGGCAGTCCTTGAGAAGGATAATGCACAGGCATGCACAGACATGGTTACAATTTTTTAAAGTACCCTAGAGAAGTGAAACATTTCAGTTCTAATAGGCTGAATTTCAGCCTGTTCAATTACTGTATTCTAATGCCATGGCAGTCCTTGAGAAGGATAATGCACAGGCATGCACAGACATGGAAAAGAATGTAGCAGCTTGTTCAAGCTCAGACATTTCTTTCAGGTGAAAAGAACCTGCAACAAATTTTTCTTTCCTCTATTTTTTTTTTAACCAATTTTAAAAGTTTGCATTCTAAGTAAAATCGTGACATGTAACAGCGATTTCTACATATTAGAAGACATACAGGATATTTCCATCATCTTCTGACAATGCATTTCAGACAAGGAAACATGCCAAATTCTACTAAGGGTACCAAACAAAATTCCAAGTTATTTGACCCTAATTCCGAATTTTTTCTTTCTAGTGTTCCAAAGCAATCCCTGCTTGAAGCAGTCTCTGAATATAGTCACAATTCAGCAAAGGTCATCATAAAATTTCTTGCTTTCCCACGTAATTTCCCAGCAGAGCTGACATCAGAAAATCTAATCAGAATGTAAAAGCCTACATCAGGCTTGTAAAATAAGCATTCTATGGGGCTGGGTCTGCTAGCCAAATTTGTTTTAGCTACCACATTATGCAGAAGTGTTATTTTTCCTGACATATTTCCACAGTCTGGTGAAGAATCCCATATACAGGAAGATGAAGGCAGGGGGAAGATTGCTCTCCCCCTTTGTAGCGCTTGCTGCTCCACTCCATGATTACCATCCAACCCTTCAGCTTTGACCCTGCCTGGAGAAAGATGGGCTGTTCATCACAAAGGCTCCTTCTTTAATGAAACTCTTCAGATGGGAAACAAAGTTTGCTGCACTGAAAATGAAAAACTCCGGAGAGAGGGGTGTGAAGCCACTGCGGTGACAGACAGAATGTAGCAGTGTTGAGAGACACAGGTGATGCAGGTGCTGCAGCAAGAGGGCAGTCTAAGAGGAGGAAATCGAGCAACCACAGCTCAAGGCAAAGGCTACAGAGGTAAAGGTCAGTTTTGACAGGGTGCAGAAAAACCTGCTGATAAGGGAAAATGAGGGGAAGTGGTGATGCAACTGTCAGGTAGAGAGCACCATTATAACTGTTTAGCACTTCCTGATGCACATGCCCAGCACTGACCGAATGCTTCCGCATGCGGACCTCGGGCATGGAATTTACAGACAGGTCACTGAAGACAAACTTCTCAGGGCTGTTCACAGCCAGAAGACTGGATCTAAGAATATTATTATTTCTGCTAACTGTATGTCAAAACCTGCCTCTCAGAGCAGCTTGCAATCAAAAACCATGGTCTTATAGCCTCTACAGCCTTCAGAGAAGATGGATGTATTTCCCCCTGGATTCCCCAGTGTACACCCACCTGACTCAGACTGGATGGCTGGACATCAACCAATCTTGGAGACAGCAAGCCAGCTACAAGACACCGAGTGTAGCTGTCACGAATGGCTTCACTTATTAAAGGACCAGATTTCTTCAAAAACTTCAGGGTCTGAAACATCAATCAAAACACACAGGTTAAGACAGCATTCAATCACTAAGATCACTTAGACTACCAGAAAGCTGCATTAGTAGCAGCAGGCATTAAGTTAGCAATTTTGGCAAGCATTGCTATGTAGAGTCATAAAGACAGCAGCACACTAACAGTCTGATTTTCTAAAAAAACCATCCTATAGAAGAAAAAATCCTTGCAATGCTGAAGGCAAGAAAGTATTTTCCAGCCTCTCTGTCAATACACCGGCCTTGCTTTTCCCTGAACATTGACACAAAATACATTCCATAGAATTTAAAACTAGTAAAACTAGAAATCACTCTTTGAAAGACTCTAGCCTCATTCGTGAGGAAGATTATTTATATGGGTATATTTAGTGAGCAGGAACTGTATTTTCCAGCCTCTCTGTCAATACACCGGCCTTGCTTTTCCCTGAACATTGACACAAAATACATTCCATAGAATTTAAAACTAGTAAAACTAGAAATCACTCTTTGAAAGACTCTAGCCTCATTCGTGAGGAAGATTATTTATATGGGTATATTTAGTGAGCAGGAACTTAATTTGAAAGGGCTTGTCCTAAACTGTGCA